GAACCCGCGACCCTCACATTGCTAGTCGAGTGCCGTAACCACCTGGCCATGCCGGGCCACACCACCACAGACTGATTAGTTAATGTTGTTTGAGTGTTTTTCTATTGAAGTTTGTTTCTTTGACAACAAAATCACAGCGTGAGAAACAAAAATACCTTTTCATAGTTGAAATTTGATTATACTTTGAAATTTTATTGACTAATTCTCACTATAAAGTGTGGTTTCATAATCACATACCAAAAAAGATCCAACAATATTTCAGGTAATTGTTTTTAAGACTCATAAAGTAAGTAAATTAATATTTAGAATTAAAAACAGTTTGATTAAAAACATTACAGTTGAAAATCACCAGAGGAAGGGAGTCCCAGCCCGAAACGTTGTTAATATTAAAACATCTATTTCGCATTAGCCATTTTTCGTGGTATAAATTATTTCCATTTTTTTATTTTCGATTTCATCGTATCACAGCGGTTTTTTTAGCTAATGTATAAAATTGTACACGGACTTTTCTCTACGTTGAAATACTTTTATTCGCAAAAATAGAGTAATATGGAATAAGAAAAAATCTCCCATTAGCTTATATTACGGGATACATTACAATATGTGCTTACTGTAAATCAGTATGTTTGCGTACTAATACTGCTAAAAATCGGGTTTCGATACCCGTGGTGGGCAGAGCACTGATAGTCTTTTGTTGTAGTTTTTGTGCTTAATAACAAACAACAACAACAAGTAAATCCGAAATAGAGGTAACAACGATATGCCAAAGAAAACAGTAATGAAATGTTCTTCAAGTTTTATAAAGAAATACAGAAGAACTACTCTCGTTCTTACAAGAAAATATAATTATTATTGTTTGTTTGTAATTAAGCACAAAGCTACACAATGGGCTATCTGTGATCTCCCCACCACGGGTATCGAAACTCGGATTCTAGCGTTGTAAGTCCGCAGACAGTTGTTACCAATTCGTTTGATGCTCAATGAGGAGATTATTCACATAGATAAATTCAAAGCAGCTTCAATACATGAAAGAAGAACGGATTAATTAACTAATTACGTTTATATTGACTAACAAGATATGATGCACAGGAACATTTTCTGCAAACGTAAGTAATATTATGAATAACATTTTTATTATCTTCGCACATATTCATAAAAATTTGAATTAATAATCAGCTCTTACAGAATCCATCAATCTATAAATTTCATTTCTGGTAGTTTTATAACCTAATGTATTAACTATTGAGGTTAAGGCTTGGTGTTAATAAAAGGAAATATGTTAATTATTACAAAAATAAAAGAATACCGTCTGTTGACAAATAAAATATTTCTGCAATTTGTGTAACAATTTATTAATAAATGAAAACATCTATTTGAATTACAAACAAGTTCGCTGAAATAATCATAAAAAACAAACTTCATCTTACACAAACATTTTTCAATACCATTGCATGCACATAATAATTTAGCATAAAGGCCTTTATAAATAGCATTATGTGTAGATAATAAGGCACTCTGTCAATACAGTTACATGTAATTACCAATAAATTTCTAGTATATTGTTCTGTATCAAGTAAGCAGTAATCAGATTCTATTTGACAGTGTCCTGAAGCAGGAATATAGACAGGGTAGCCTGCAAGTAAGGAAGCCACATCTGAGAGAAGCTCTCTTCTGGACTTCAAACTTTTCCGTTCCTGCAAATGTTTCTAGCAGCCATCACACTGCAACACTATTTATTTGTTTATTTGAAGTTAAGCACAAAGCTACACAACGGGCTATCCGTGCTCTGCCCATCATGAGTATCGAAACCCGGTTTCTGGCGTTGTAAATCCGCAGACATACTGCTGTGCCACTGGGGGAGGGGGAGGCAGTTGTGTCTTGAAAAATCAAAATATAAAATCATGATCAGTATCATACTAAAATGGTTAAAATTCAC